ATTTTAAGCAGCATGGGACATTTGAGGTCAACTTAAATTTTCAATAATTACAGAGCAGGTATGAACTCTTCCTTTGTTTCTCCAGATACATGAACCTGGATGCCAAATCCATCCTCTCTGAGTGTAGTGGGAATGTATGAAGATGACTGGCCTGAGTCTCAATTGAATAAAAAGATGCCCCAAAAGACATTTTAACATTTTTGAAAAGTAGTTATAAAGTGTGGTTCCTTATCACACATCAGGGATTATCTAGCCTCCAGTGTGGCTTTTGTTTTGTTTTGTTTTGTTTTTGCAAAAGACATTTCAACATTTTCGAAAAGTACAATCATAAAGTGTGGTTCCTTATCACACATCAGGGATTATATAGCCTCCAGTGTGGTTTGTTTTTTTTTTTTTTTTGCAGTAAAATTGTGTCATTTTATATTTGAAATTTGCATTATGAAAATAAGTCTGTACACGAAGTAATGCGTATTTAATTAATATGAATCATATAAATTTGGTCATGGCATTTAAAGTTGGCTTTGACTTTGAATTATTTTTAAATTCATAGAAAATATTGAACTTCTAATAAAATAAAACATTTTAATAATCGATATTAATAATCAACTTCAAAATTTCTTTGTCTGCATTTTCTGTTCAATTTTGAAAGAGAAGTCACTTTCAGTAGTGTTCCAAAGTGAGTGATTGCACCTTCTATGATGTGAAAAAAGATCCGATTGCCATTAGCTGTTCTTAAGTGCTGAACATAACTGAGAAATTTTAACGAGATACTCTCTGTCACTGGCAGGAAATCCATCTCCGTCCTTTGCAGGGGCAGTCCTGAGCTCGTGTTTTAATGGATGCGAAGGCAAACCATGGTTCTCACGTGACTTTCTGAAGCACCCCCACAGCAGGCCCAGGTACCTTGAGTGGACTAAGTCTCACTTTATGGCAGTGGCATCAGATGGTGGCTACAGAAGGTTGCCGACATCCCTGTGTGCTCTTACAGGCTCTGCAGACCGGGGGACGAAAGGACCAAGGAACTCTGCCCTCAGGAATCCCAAGTGACTAGAGGGACACAGCATCAGGGCCCCAGGCAGTGTCGCCCACTATTCAGGAGGTGGGTGGAGGCTCCGCAGCTTCATTTCGTCCAGTCCCTTCCAGTATTTAAAATTGTTGTCAAGACGCTGCATTAACTCAGGCAGGTCTGCAAAGGCGTCCCAAGCAGCAAACATGTCTGTGATGAAATAGTCAATGAAAGAGATTTGGGATTTGGGGATGCTGCAGGTATTTCTGTCAAAAACTGACATCACTACAGGCAAGTCCTGTCGCTTCTCTTCATCAGTCTGAGAAAAACATTCTTCTGAGATACGTGCACCAGATTCTGAGATACTGCACTTTCCCAGGGGTCAGCAGGGATTTGACACATCAGCACACTTAATCAGCATTCGTTTGATCAGACTGCGGTTGTCTGGAGTTCTGAGCATAGTGATTATGGCTTCTTGATTTTTACCAGTTTCTCCATCTTCCTCTGATGCTGCCAAGGGCTTGTTGATGCTATTGACAAATTTGTTGACGTGCTCAAAGTGCTTTGTCATTTCTGTGGCTAAGACCATGTCGATAATACTCTGGTGCAGCGTCCGGTAGTCATCCCTCTCCATGTTTTTAAAGATGTTGCATTTATCATCACGAGTGGTCAGTTGGAAGGCCAAGGCCGTGAGGTGGCTCTCGAGCACAGCAGTGTCGTTATACAGAATGGCCAGCTCGCTCCCAGCATTGCACAGGAAGGAGTTGGTTCTCCCGGGGTGGTCCAGGTCATGGACAGTGGCTGCAATGAGGGCAGCGATCTCATCAAGTGGATCTAAAGTTTGCTTTATCCTCTCTTTGCAGAGAAAATAGGCAGTGGCGTGAAGCACATCGGCAGAATGTGTAGAATTGTGGTAGGGGTTAGAAGCATGATAATTGGCTTCGATAATTTGCAACCATGATCTCAGCGTTGTCTCAGAGCATTTTAAGACTTCACAGACTCCAAAGCGAGCGAATATTTTGAGACCAAGATAAATCAAAGGCCTTTTATGAGTGGCAGCCTCCAGTTCAAAACTATCAAAGTCCCAGAATTCCTCATTTTCCATGGCCCGAGTTATCTGTGATTGGACGTTGTGAAGGAAGGTGGAGGTGATTACACTGCTGGAAACCTGTTGAAGGTTTTTTGTTGAAAGAACATACTCATTCCTGGATGGTCTTCACAAAACATCAGACATTAAGTCCCCAACAAGGTCAATGGCATGAGGATCATTGTCCTTAGCATCAAATTGTGGTGAATATAATTCAGTGGTTCTTAGAATTTCCAGCACACGATCTAAGGCTTCTGTCACAGGCATGGGACTGCTTTCCTGGGCAGCACTGATGATATCGATTGCCTTGGTGATGGGCGCCTCAATCTACATGGAATGTATCCGGGCCATGGAGGAGTGTCGTCTCTGGCTGGAAACTTTTCTTGTTCGAGAGGCAGCAGTTCTGACATCTAGTGAGTTTTTTCTCCCGTCGTTATGTTTGCCTGACTGATTATCTGTATGAGTGTCAGACTGAACACATTCAGCTATTTTCTCAGCCTTATTGTTGCCATTGCACACTCTGACAATGGACACATAGTGTCTAATTGTTCCTCCCTGTCCAATGACAGGTATCATCTTCACATTTTGTTGTTGAGAGACATACAGAGAAGCCAGGGTGAGTCACCCCATCTATCCCTCCTCTGGACCTTAGTTCCTCCTGATTGTCACTCGTTACACTGAGAACAGATTTCAGGACTCAGCACATGCAGCCATAATGTGTGCCTAATTCCACATCCCAGTTACTGGGACACAAAATTTTGGTGTCTTCAAGTCTGGCTCCCACGTCACCACTCACATATGTCAGTTCTTCCTCTACAGCTGAGTCAGTGAGTAAAGACACATAAACAGAAGCAGATTAATATGAACAAGGTTTTATTGACATATATATATATGTACATAAAGCTGGGAAAGAGAAGGGCCCATTGAGGCAAATGCATAGGGGGAGAGGAAGCATCTGAAAACAGCAGTGGGCATCCTGCCAGTTCCAAGTCTAGGGAAACTGGCTGGGGGCTTGGGTCCACCAAGTTAACAGTCAAGCCAGGGATGGCACAGTGGATGATACAGGCAGCTCTCTTCCATTCTCCTAACTGGAACTTCTCAAGTCTGGTGTAGTTCTGAAGTGGGCTCATATGCCACATGCACACACACACTCACTCTTGCACAGCCCTGAGGTGTGGTCCTCCGGCTTGCTGTAGGAAGAGAGGAGGTTAAGTTTCACTTAAACGGGCTGAGCCACTTTCCAGTGAGACAAAGTCCATTCATGGTTACACACAGTTTGCAGAATAAGATCTGCTCTTCATTTGTAGAGTTTCTTCGTAGAAGAAAGGAATTAGCTGATGGCTCCTATGAAGCCCTGGGCAAGTTATGAGGCTGCCAGGCTCCTATGAGCACAGGCACAGCTGCCCTGACCAGAAGCCTCCAAACACAATGCTGGCTCGTCTAAGTCAGAGGGGTGTCCTGACTTGGGTGCCCCAGGGTTCTTCCTGAGAGTAGAGGTTCCTCTCTAAATATGGATGATGCTGTCCCCCGTGGCGCCACCTGGGTTTTGGCTGGGGGCGGGGGCCAGGTGCCTTGTATTAATGCGGCCCCAGAAGTGTATGCAGTCACAGCAGGTGTGGTGCTGTCCCCCATGGCGCCCCCACCCCATTCTCTGCACAGATGGGTTCCAAGTCTGATGGCAGTTAATACACAGGGCCTCCCAGCACCCGTGAGATGTTGTGCCCTCCATCCGCACCACCTGTGTATTGGCCAGGTGGGTCCCAGTTGTAAGCGGGAATACCAGGTCCTCCAATCATGGGCATGATGTTGTTCCCTCCGAGACGACCACCACCTAGTGGGCAAGTGGGCCCCTTGTGCTCGGAAATAAGGTAGAACTAGAAGTGTGTTGAAACCCACGGGTGGTAACCATACTTGCAACTCCAGCAGATGTGGTGTGCTCTGTTGGAAGGTGGAAACTGACATGTCCCTTGACACAGATTTCATCTCCTTGGTGATGGAACTTTTAAACGTAGATTTTCTACGTCCAGATGGGCCCTGTGTGCAGTGGTGGAAAGTGGAAAGAAACACTAGGGCCTCCCATCGTGGGGATGGTGTTGTCCCCTGCCATCACCGTACCACCTGTATTGAGCGCAGGTAGGCCCCAGGTATTTGGATTTAAGGTGGAATCAGGTATGTTCCCAAATGCTGGGATGGTGCCTGCCCCTCCTACTGCAGCAGCCTTGCCGTGGTAGGTAGATGGCAGGTTGTCTGTCCCAAAGTAGGAACAGAAGTGGTGCTGGGTGCCCCACTTAGACCTGTCCCAAAGTTAAGTGGTCTGGATGCCTCTGAATGAGTGAGGCCTGGGGCTGACACACCAACTCCAAGGCTCCCACCGGCCGTAGGGGTTGCAGGTCACATGAACAGTGGGCCCGGTGTGGTGTCGGCAAAGAGCGAGCTACCGTCTCCAGTACTGGGCATCCTGGTGGCAACTCCAAACACAATTAGCAATGGACACAGACCTAGGGAGAATGCCTGGGTTGTCGCCAAAGGCTGGCTGCATGTTGCTGGTGGTGGCAAATATGGAAGAGGGCAAAGCTGACTGCATGATGCTGACTCGCGGTGGCTAGGCTGCAGGAGCGGCTAGGACTTTAACTTGTGCTGAGGCTACTGGGTTTCCCAATAGAAAACACTCGTTAGGGCTCGACACATCGTTGGCCCCCAGTTTGGCCTGAGACGGGAGACCTGGGACTGAGGAAGCTTGAAGTGTTTGTCTATCTGTTGCCCGTGTCGCAGGTAAATGCGTGGAGGAATGGGCTGAGGCATTGTTACCACTGGGTGGTGTGTTCCCAGAACTAGGAACAGCCCTGTGAAATGGCTATTAGTTCTGCCTGGAGACAGGGGCAGACTGGAACATGACAGCCTGGGAAGGAGGTGTGGTGTCCATAGGTTCAGTGTCAGAGCTGCTACCTGCTGAAGTACCCTTGATGGCTGAAGTCGCAAATGAGGGGCTGAGAAAAACAGGAGCCGAAGGGAAAATGACAGCATGGGAAGCAGCTGTGGTGTCCATAAGTTCAGTGTCAGAGCTTCTGCCTGCTGAAACTGTAATGTGGGGCTGGGGAAAACAGGAACCGAATGGAAAATGACAGCCTGGGAAGGAGGTGTGTTGTCTGTCCATAGGTTGAGTGTCAGAATTTCTGCCTGCTGAAGCCGTAAATGGGAGACTGGGGAAAACAGGAGCAGAATGGAAAATGACAGCCTGGGAAGGAGGTGTGTTGTCTGTCCATAGGTTGAGTGTCAGAGATTCTGCCTGCTGAAGCCGTAAATGGGAGACTGGGGAAAACAGGAGCAGAATGGAAAATGACAGCCTGGGAAGAAGGAGTGGTGTCCATAGGTTCAGTGTCAGAGCTTCTGCCTGCTGAAGCCATAAGTGTGAGACTTGGGAAACCAGGTTTAAAATTAAAAAAAGCACCCTGGGAAGGAGGTGTGGTGTCCATAGGTTCAGTGTCACAACTTCTGCCTGCTGAGGCCGTAAATTGGGGGGCTGGGGAAAACAGGAGCCGAATGGAAGATAACAGCCTGGGATGGAGGTGTTGTGTCCATAGGTTCAGAGTCAGAGCTGCTACGTGCTGAAATACCGATGACGGCTGAAGCCCTAAATGGGGGCTCAGGAACACAGGATCCGAATGGAAACTGACAGCCTGGGATGGAGGTGTTTTGTCCATAGATTCAGTGTCAGAGCTTCTGCCTGCTGAAGCCGTAAATGGGGGCTGGGGAAAACAGGAACCGAATGGAAAAAGACAGCCTGGGAACGAGGTGTGGTTTCCATTGATTCAGT